CCAGCTCAGCCAGCTCAGCCAGCGGCGACTCCGCCACAGGTTCTGACACAGCCTGAAGCGCCGCCTCTGCCACCGGTCCTGGCGCAGCCCGAAGTGCCAGCTCAGCCAGCAGCTTTGACGTCGCCAGCTCAGCCAGTGGCAACTCTGCCAGAGGTTCTGACACAGCCCGAAGCGCCAGCTCAGCCAGCCGCACCTGCGGTTCTAACTCCACAGGTTGAGACAGCCTGAAGCGCCAGCCCAGCCAGTCCCACCAGTACGGTATGTTGAAGGAGAGCTTCCCACCATGCATGAGCTTGCTGGTTTTGTCGTTCCAACTCCGCACACCATGTTCTTCCCACAGGCTCTGACGCGAGTGCCAACTCCGATGCAAGCGCCTGCAACCCAGCCAGCGCAAATGCAGCCCAAAGCATCACCTGTTCAGCCAGCGCAGCAAGCCCAGTCACTTGGGACACCATTTCCACACCGCCTGCGAGCCAGCTCTGACATCACACTGCAGGATGAGGCAGCCCTTTCGAGAGGTAGTACGATGGTTTATGAAACGCAGCCCAGCACAGGCATGGCACGACCAGTCCCCACAGTGCCAGAAGAGTGGCCTGACTCACAGCCCGACACCTTCATGGACCGTCCAGATGAGCTGCCCACACTCCAAGCTGATTGGGAGAATTGGCAGGATTCACAGCAACCAAGTTCACAACTCCCCGTCCTTTGAAGATGTGTCTACAGCTGGCTTGATTGCCAACTCATTGCTACCTGCAGATGCCTCAGCAGCGCACACTGCGCGATGTCCTTCCAAGGCAGCCTCCCACGTCAGGGTCACTCCCAAGCCCAAGGCACTAGTACCACCCGGGTTCCACAGAGGCCTGACCTTGGACAGGGGTCTTGATGCTCTGGCAGCCCAGAACCTTATGGTTTTGCCAGAATCAGCGCACGCAATGTCCCTGCGTGGCCAGAAAAGGAAGACGCGGGCAGATGAAGAGGCCCTGCCTGTCTTGGATGAAGAGGACAAGGCCAAGTACAAGGATTACTGGAGCAAGTTTCGTGCACAGCCAAAGACTGACAGTACGACTGCCAGTTCACCTGCGCCCACCGAGTCCGAGAACAGGCCTGTCAAGCAAGATGAGGTCTCGGTACCAACAACACCATCGTCCATGATGTCCGCAGGTGGTCTGGCTGAAGCTTTGCAGCGGTTGGGTTTCGCAGGCTTGGGTTCAGAGGAAGATGCACACCGGGTTTTGGAAAAATTGGTGAGTCTCAAAGCTGCAGTCGACAATGAGCCAACACCTCCAGCCGATGCACCAGCTTCACCCCCGGTACTGCCAGCCCCAACTAGCCAGCAGCATGGGTTCATTGCTTTTCCGGCCTCTGCAGGGACACTAATGCAGGAGATTACAAGTGCACAGCAGCCGTCTGTCACCGAGCTACCAGCAGCAAATCCGAGCAGCCAGCCCGTTCCTGGCCAGCCTGTGCAGCAAACAGCAGTTGAGAGCCCCCCGCGCGCAAGCAGCTATGAAGAGAGTTGGGATGAGCTGGTCCGGAAGCACGGGCGTTCTCGTGCCCTGTCTGTCCAGATGGAGCGCGAGGCCATGCAAACCTTGTGCGCGGTTCCGAGTTCACCAAGCCAGCCTGTTGAGCCAGCGTTTCTGCAGCCTGGAACGTTTCAGAGTTCACCAAGCCAGCCTGTTGAGCCTGGAATGGAGGTTTTGGAGAGTTCACCAAGCCAGCCTGCTAACCCAGCTCTGCCCCCGCCCATTGCTCCAGCTCTGCCTTCACAGGCGCCATTGGACCCTGCGCCCCCAGCAAGCCAGCCACCTCCTGCTGGTCAGCCAGCGCCCCTGCAGCCTGGAAGGGAGGTAGCGCCCCCGCTGCCTCCTCCCCCAGCCAGTGTAGCGGAGACCAGCCCGCCACCTGCAGGGCTTGTGCCTGTGGGAGATCGGTGCAACAGTTCCAGCCACCCAAGAGAGTTTGCAAGCTTCAAGCGTTTTTGCTTGAACACACCTGCAGCTCAAGAGTTGAAGCAGGCATTCCTTGGAGGGGGCGAGCGCCGACTTGCAGCGTTCCGAAAGTTTGTCATGTCTGGCTGCCAAGGCCTAGCCTTGGAGGCAGTGATGAAGTTTAAGCGCATGTCAGAACAGAAGGATGTCGATGAGGGTGAGTATTTGACTTGGGCCGATGTGCTAGACCATTTCAAGAACAATGTTGATGATGCCACCCGCCTTGTCAACCAACGGCGGTCGCAGTCCGATGGCAGCCTCGTCTTAGATTTTTGATTGATTGGCCGATCGCCCAGGTGGACGCTGGCAAAAGCCACCAAACGTGACAGTTTGACCTGCGTTGAACTGAGGACTTCTACTTGCCGGAACACTGGGCAGGAAACCTTCCTCATCTTTGGCCGCCAGAAAAAGAGCTGGACCACAGTGCGCATTGCACATTGGCTCAGAATTATAATATTAATATAAGTCAGAATGCGTTTTTCAAATCACCATTTCCAAATTGTTCGATGCTGCTTGTTCGGTGTCGGAGACTTAGGAGACCGTTGAGAGTGAGTTGGGTGTGGAGCCAGGGTGCGCTGCGGAGTTGATGCAGCTCCTTGAGCAGCACCACAACCCCATGTCCACTATGTCATCGTCTCCCAACCCACCCATGTTGCCTTCGACTGAACCTGGAGCGCCCTCGGTTCCAAGTCTGGGAGGTGGCCAAGGTGGTGATCATAGAGAGGAGATCAAGCCGGACCCAAAGCCCAAGCCCAAGTCAAAAAAAGAACGTGTGAAGGCCATGGGGCTTGAGTGACATGCCTGTGTGGAAAACAAACATTGTCAGCTATACTTGGTCATTTTCAGCCGCCCTTCCAGGGTTCTGATTTGGACGACGAGCTGCTCATGACAGATGATATCCGATCCTTTTGCTGCGCCTGGATTGGGAAGGCGGCAGACGCGCAGGGCATCTGCGCGATTGTCAGCGCACAGCTCCATGGATGAAGGTTTCAGCTTTGACTGTGTCTTGTGGGTTGCAAGGTTGGTTCTGGCATGACTCACCCAGGCTGGAGGGCAGCTGGCGATTCTTTGGGCCAGTATCGAAAAGATATGGTGGGCTTGGAGGCTTCTGAAATCACCTTTGACAAAGTTGCTGAGATTTTGCAAAAGGTTGCTCGATGGCATTTGTTTTGAAGTTCTTGTTCTCAAGCGTTGTTTTACGGCGGCTGGCCTCTGGCGCTGAAGGCGAAGGGATGCGTTCAGGCCTACAAGAAGCATACCAAAACCGCCAACAATTTGATCCTAGTTGGCAATTTCTAAGATGGATGAAGTTTGCTTTTGAGCTTTGCGTTTTGTCTGGTGTGTTTTTCCGGCTCCGCGACCATTCCGCAAGGATCTCTGCGGCCAAACGTGCTTCCAAACCGCCGAGCAAGAAGAAGGGAAAGAACAATGCTGAGCAAGAAGCTACTGAGTGAGGCTTTACAGCCAATTTTCAATGGGTATGGTTCTGAACACCTACCAAGGTGATGAACTGGGGTGATGGCAGTGTGCAATGGATAGTGAAACTATTGTAAAGGGAGTTTAACTTAACAACGCTATAGTAGCTATAGTGAACACATGTATCATGTATATACATGCGGTTGTTTTTTGTTTTGTGTGCTGCCCATGTTGGATTGTCCACCAATCCGCCAAGTGCGTTTTTGAAGACCCAAACGCAATGGGGGTCTTGGATTGTTCCGCCGTCTCGCAACCGCTCAGCTAAAATGGGAACCCCTCTTACTGCCGAGCTTCAGGTTGTGTGCCTTCAGAGCTCAGCGCTGCCGTGTATCAAGATCGCTTCATTCCTGCTTGCAGTTTTTTGGCTTCTGACCCCATGAAAGGGTTGTTGAAAACTCTTCGAAAAAAGCGAAGTTTTGAGTCTACATCATCCTCGTCCCCTGGGCCAAAGTCACTGAGTTTCAAGTCACCTATCACTCGATTGGTGGCTTCGGAGATTGGGAAAGGTAGACCAGCCTACCTACTACAAAAGTTTGCTTCTGCGGCAGTCGCAGAAGCGGGGCACAAGAATGTCAGCGCCAGCATCTCGGATTTGTTTTAAGCGGTCTGTCCTGCAGGCGTTCTCATTGATCACAGCCATGTAGGTTGCAAGATCGGTACTCCTGAGTTCCACAGGTATACGGTGGGCGGCGAAGATCGGCAAATCTGGTAAGAACTTAAACCATGCCGAGACATCCTTGCACAAGGCATTGGCGAGATCAAATGAGGCGCCCCCTGATCCGAGTCCACCAATTAAGACTTAAGAAACTGTTTCGAACCATGTCCCGGGGTTGGGGGGTGGATCGCCTGCGGTGCAGGCGATCATCCGATGCCCGCTCTCTTATGTCACGATCCCTATCAAAGATCCTCACCAGATTCGCCACCGCAAGAAAAAGCAGCGGTCTCGGAAAGCCAAAGGTAGGGGGAAAGGAAAAGGAAAACAGAAAGGGAAAGGAAAACATGGTGGTATCAAGAAGCAGGGCTCGGCGCCACCTGCAACCGTGTTCCAACGTTGGCCTATCATGAGCCCCCGAGCTATGTTGGACGCCATTGTTGAAGCTGGTGCGACTCACCTGCTGATTCTTGTTCCATTTAAAACATGTGACATGCACGTCTTATGTTGTTAGGTAACTTTCAATGATTCTGAACAACCATGTGGTAATGATCAGTCTACCCATTCACACCCAGGACGGGAGATTTGAATTGGCTCGACTTCTGGGAAAACATTAAATCTGAGCCTTGGGGGTCGCCGCTCGCCTTTCCAACTTGAACAATCCATGCATGGTGCACCTCGCCCACCCCCACGGTCCCACTGTCAAGTTTCTCCTTCCCATCCGAGGTCTCATCCGATCCAGCAGTGTCCGCCATGCGAGAGGGCCAGCTCCATCGGCATAACGTGTCACGGAGACGAGGGCCAAGGAAAAAAGGATAAAAGCCTATTGGTTTTGAGTTGGAGCTCGATAGGGGTGAAGGCACGGTCAACACACTGCAGATTCCCATTTGCAGCTGCTGGGATTGAGCCCTGTAGTAGGGTTGAATTTTGCTTTTCAGGCTTCCAAACCTTCTAAAAAAGGGGAGTTCCATATAAATGTAGCATAAACATCGCTGAGGTTATCCGCTCCACTTCTTATGCGTACGCTGAAGATGGACGGAACATTACCCTAGAAGCCTTGCAAAGGGAATTTGTCAGGACTATGTTTGATTGTTTTTGGTGGGTGATGAGGGAATGTGTTGTGAGGGCGTCTCCTTCTCCTAAGTAACCGCTTCCGCCAGGACATTGAACCTGTGTGCGCCGGGGAGTAGTGTGCATCCGTTGAAACTTGTCTACATGTGTGGCAAAGGTGACTGGAAGTGGAAACGTGAGTGGCTGGTGGAAGCCCGAAACTACAACCGGTCCAAAAAGGGTCTTGGTGGCGGAGGAGAAATTTGTCGCAGGTGCTTATGTGGGAGCAGTCCCGATAAGCCATGGATAGACATGACTGAGAGGTTCAACAAACGGGAAGACTTGGAGCTTGCAGCCCAAAGCAGCCCCTAAGAATGTCTTGCATTCTTTTTTATGGAAAACCGGTTTCAGTATTAAATTGTTAGATCTGTGTCTTTTGCAAAACAGATTTTGTTAAACACGTTCTGGGGGTTCAGCCGTTCAATCGACACGGCCTTTATAGGTTGTGGGCCAAACATCGCACTGCGTGGCTTATGGGGT